AAAGACAAAAACTACAAAGTTAATCGAGTCTGTTATTCCTTCCTTTATACAGTCAATGGTCAAACTTGAAAGTCTCTATATTCGAACTACAAGAAAAATAATAAAGGTAATAGTTTCTCCCCAGTGCATGTAATGGCACAAACACCAGCTATGAACTGCAAAGGAAATCTAATCATTTGTTTCAGCACGTTTGCATTACTTGCTGTTATCAAGATTTTTTGACATTTTGTATTTTGTAAACTGAGAAAGGAAAAGTATGAATACATTGCATCGTCAGGAATTACAATAACTCGCTGTAAATAGCAGAAGGCCTGTTCAGAAATGTTTTTCTTTTCACCATCTACTGCGAGAGGTTAGATTATCGCATCAGCGAAGAGAACTTGTGGCCCGTGTCGTTCTACCCTCGTTTACCCACTAAAACCTCGCCGGTCATCAATTTTCCCCAGCACTTCCAGCAAATTTAAACCTATCAAAATGAAAAACATCAAACAAATTGAAATATTATTTTAAGCAATACCGAGGATGACTCAGGTTATCTAAGGAATCTCAGTGTGCAAACGTTACTGTCAGAAATATTCTGTTTTAGTAGAGTAATGCAAGAAATCAAGTCCCTAAAAGTAAGAATATTATCGCCTGAGAGAATCTCACAGTTAACCACATGACCTTAGATTTTCTAAATAATTCAAAACGGTAGTGAGATGTTACATCTATTTTGACCAAATAAGGACATGATATTCTCAGTCAAGATGTTTGTTTTGAATGAAAGGACGTTAATGCTGTTCGATTGAATTGATATTGTAGTATTACTAATTATGCAAAGGTAAACTTTTAGCACTTATCAAAACAGAACTGGAAATTTGTAAAGGTCCGCAAGAAAGATGGTATGTTTTTTCGTTGTTTTCTTTCTAACATCTTATTAATATGCCAGATGTCAACTGTGGGGATTCTTTTAGTTCTTATCACCAACCAGTAACAAACAATAATAACTCAACTAGCTATAATTAAAGGGAGTTCCGTGCCACTGTCAGATCCGTTTGCATTTTGCCGTTTGAAGTTTTCTGTTGGAAAACATGGCAAGGATGATATATCTCTCTTTCTTTCTCTTGAAGCCGTTTGTTTATGCAAGGAAGAACACGTATGATTTTGTAATTTTTTTTTACTTTTTTGCCCTATCAATTGATTGATGAGGCTCTTGAGTAAAAAAAAAAATAGTATCATCAGATAACAATTAAATAATGAATTACATGTACGTGACTGATGAAATCGAAATCTCCCGAAAAAAGTTGGCAATTTTTTTTAACAGAGCAAATCAAAGATTGTAATTGCCACTGTTCCTTGTCTTTATCAAAGTAACGTTTCCGAAAAGTGGTGAAGGTTAAGTACTGACATTCGAAGGAAAAAATGTTTCAGGATCAAAAGGTTCATCCTTATTCTACTCAATGGAGGGACGTTTTAATTCGCTTTTCTGAATGAATATAATTTTAAGAGAACTTATCAATCTGACTTCTATAAAGATTCAAGGCTACCAACTACTGTTATCTAATACTTTTCAGTTAGTTTTAGAGCACACTAATCCCACTTGCTGAACGTAGGTGGTGAGTAATTAAGTTGCTTGTTGCGTCCCAGAGGGGGCACCTAAAAACATGCTTGGACAGAGGGTTCAATCCTCTTACCTAATGACTAATGAACCAATAATTATGGTCTGTACAATGTATTCCAGTTTAAACAAAAGATTTCTAGCCTGTTAGCCAGCAAAACTCAAGAATAAACCCTTCAAAGCAGTTTATAGTGCTATTCACGGATCATGAAAATCAACATCCCTACGTCGTTAAGCACCAGTTCTTTGCAGTGTATTCTTTACTTAGCTCTTACCAGCGATTGTCGAACCATCCAATTCGAGCCTGTAACCAAGGATAAAATTCTTAAAAACCATGTGATAAGAAATGCCAGCGTTCAAAGCCAGTAACAGTGCAAGTCAAATTGCTTCCAAGAACCCAATTGTGAGACCTACAACTATGGTCCAGTATACAGTAATACACCGACATGTGGGCTCATTAATCGCACCCAGCTGCAAGTCACCAGAAGCGATTTTCAGCAAAAGGAAGAATACATCTACCAACGCATCTTGGTAAGAAACCAAACATTTTTTTTTAGATCGGAGCACTTTTGAGTTGAGCGTCAAAACCAATGAGCGATCAATCAACCTTGCGCAAGAGTAAAAGCGATTATTTTGCTTGAGTCTGATTGGTTAATTAGATGACGTTTTTTTTTTTCTGGAGCAAACAGAGTGACATAACGGGAAACGTTGACTACCCACGTAAGTAAAATTAATTATTTGATGCATTTTCCTCAGCATGTGAATATCTTTTTTTTAGAATTCCTGTGAAAGCCGCCCTGTCTGAGCAACACATTATGTCAGACTGGGTTGACTAATAAAGGATATCGATGAATTTGCCATGAAATGTTGGACCAAGGTGCTAATTATTGTGATCAAGGTACATCTTGGGGTGTAGTTTAATTCAATAGGCTTACTTCACTGATTTAATCGTAGGGATGATTTGCATCAAAAAGGCCATTTCTAATCTTGGAAACCATCGTCAAAAAAATAGACGACTCGATGAAAGGAAACTACACAATGAAGATCATAAGGAGAAAGAAAGATAAGAATAACTAACAGCCAGTAGAGGTGATGAAATAGTAAAGAAAAAAAATTCATAAGAATAGAAAAAAAGCAAAAACAAAGAATCGACATAAAATATGATGGCGTGCAGCGTCTATAAAGTAGAAAGTGATCGAGAACTAAATTTTTGATTTATCATCAATCTCAATTATGTTTCTTTCGATTGCTAAACTCTCGGGGGAAACGTACGAATAAAAAGTTTACAATCAAAAAAATAATAAAAAAAAAAAACAGACAAATAGTAGCAATTGATAATCAGAGACTGAGCCAGGTGGGGCACTAGGAGCCTAGCTAGCACTTTTTTGGTTCTTATTGACAAATTAAGAATGAGGAAAATAGGCTTAGTTTTAATAACTTACTCGCTGTCAATTCCACAATATCGGAATGAACATTTAGCTTTTAAGAGAGGCATTGCAATCACAACTACTAAATTACTTGCGTGTACCTAATATTTGTAGTACTTCTAGCTTAGACTTTTAAATCTATTTAAAAAGTTGTTTAGAGCTGTACAATGTATGTGTCTCAGATTATTATTGTGTGTGTATGGATTCTCTAATGATACAATAGGTCCTGATTGGGATACATCGACATCTACAACTACATTTATTAGAGTCAGTAAAACCTTGAGAGGTATCACACCAGCTATAAAAAAAATTTAGAAAACTAGAAAACTATTAATATATATACATATAACCGACACCTCTACCGCGAACAACAACAAGAAATGCAACTGCCGACAGTAAAACTCATGCCCTCTAGACGGAAACTGCCTCCAACAATCTGTNTCCCCCTGTTACTAGTCAGGTGTGATGACCACAACACTATCAGGACAACCATGCTGGCAACACGGCAATCAAAGATATATATATATATCTAAACATTATAATGGAATGATGCTAATTTTCGATTTAAAAATATTAAGTGAACTAGAGTTTACAACGTCACTTGGGAGGGTATACCATTCAGCTGTAGTTCTTGGGAAAAAAGAGAATTTTGGCCATGGGGACCTTTAAAAGCATGACTGCGACGTGTGCGTAGTTCACGATTG